TGAGGAGAGTTCTCCTAACTAGAAAACGTGAAAGTTTAAATATTAAATAGGTAGATGACAAAATTAAGGTTCCGACCTCATTCATGTGAATATTATTAAATCTATATATCTATACATATAAATAAATTAAAGTGTGTGTCTGTGATATTGAAATAACTGGCTCATATTAATCTCAAGGGGATCATCGCATGCTAGCAATTAACCATTTTTGTCTGTCTGTCTGTCGCGCCTAGTCTTCGTAATGGCTAAACCTATTGTGATGAAACTTTACGAACAGATAGGGAGCAATGCCAAGAGTGAACTAAGATCTAGAGTAACAATATTTTATACGAAAAAAATTATAAATTAAAAAAAAAACTAATAATGAAAAAATAGTAAATAACGCCCCAGACATGTCTAAGCCCACTTATATCCGGGAGCAGTTTTGGGAAATGGTAAGGATGGTGTTAATGAAGTGTAAGGGAAATGAAAATATTATTATGCTAGGAGATTTTAATGGAAGGGTTGGGGTGAGGAGGCTTGGTTATGAAAGTATATTGGGAACGTTTGGTGATGAAAGTATAAATGAGAATGGTGAAAGCCTCCTCACCGTATGTGTGGAAAGGAATCTTTTTGTGACGAACACTTTCTTTCGTCATAAGAAGATTCACATGTATACTTGGGAAAGAGGTTATGATAGAAGCATGATAGATTTCATAACTGTGGATGAAAGAATGAGGAGCGCAGTGGTGGATACAAGGGTTTACCGGGGGTCCAACGTAGGGACGGACCACTACCTGGTCTTATGCCGAATTAGGGGTTTATTCAGACGTTGGCGGCATAGAAAATCTGTGTCTACCACTGCGTTACAGCGTATAAGAATTGAGAGGTTACAAGATGAAGATGTGAAAGACAAGTTCAAATGCAGACTGAGAGAAAATATAAGTAATTTGGATGAGTTGTGTGTGAATGGGTTAGACTTGGAGAATGTGTGGCATAATGTTAAGAAAGGTTTAGTGGATGCAGCTACCGAAGTATGTGGTGTTAGTAAGAGAACGAATGAAAGGAAAGACAATACGTTATGGTGGGATGATGAGGTACGTATGGAACTTGAAGCAAAGAAGAGAGCATGGCTAGATTTACTAGCGACCAAAGCTGGTAATTCTGGCGGTAAGAATGATGAGAATGAAAGAAAAAAGGCAGAGTTTAAACGTTTAAATAAGAGAGTAAAAGAATTAGTTGAAAGGAAAAAGCAAGAAAGAACGGATAGGAATGATAGAAGAATATCGGATAACTTCCAGGCAAATATTAAAATGTTCTGGAAACTTGTAAGAAATACCATGGGACTTTCAAAACAGCCTAGATTGAATGCGATACGAGACGAGAATGGCTGTATCCTGAATGATGAAGTGTTGAGTCTAAAGAGATGGAAGGAATATTTTGAAAGCGTGTTTATGAGTGAGGAGAAGTGTGAACTAAATGAAATAGAAATTCCGAAAGAAGATGTAAGATATAGGGAGATAAGTATAGATGAAATAATGAAAGAAAAGAAAAGCATGAAAGTAGGTATGGCAGCCGGATATGATAGAGTTTCACTCGAAATGCTAAGGGCTGGAGAGGAAGTGGTGGCAGGCCTGCTGTACACCTTGTTTAATTTATGTTGGGAACTAAAGCGGGTACCGGGAGACTGGTGCAAAGCCGTGATAGTCCCAATATATAACGGAAAAGGGTCACAGCAGGACTGTAAAAACTACCGTGGTATCAGCCTTCTTAGCATTGTGTGAAAACTGTATGCTAAGGTACTAATTGAAAGAGTTATGAAAGAAACTGATGAAAAAATTTGAGATGTGCAAGCGGGATTTAGAAAGGGAATGGGGTGTACAGATCAAGTCTTTTCCATGCGCATGATCGCGGAGAAGTTTTTGGCGAAAAAGTTTTTTGTGCGTTCATGGACTTGGAAAAGGCTTATGACAGAGTGGACAGGGATGTGTTATGGCAAACGCTGAACGCATTTAGATTGAGCGCTGGTTTGATACAGGCATTAAAGTCTCTGTATAGGGACTCGAGTGCTTGTGTTAGAATCAACGGGGTCTACTCGGACTGGTTTGGCATCCATAAAGGTGTCAGACAGGGCTGTGTAGCTTCCTCGTGGCTGTTCAACCTATTTATGGACAGCTGTTTGGAAAATTTGAAAGTTGAAGAATGCGGGTTAAGAATGGGTGAGTTAACCATCAAATGCCTTTTGTACGCCGATGATCAAGTCATACTTGCGTCGTCGGCGGCCGAGTTGCAAATGATGGTTACATTAATGAAAAGGTCATTAAAACAAAGGGGAATGAAACTGAACGCAAGTAAGACGAAAGTGATGGTTTTTGAAAGAGATGAAAGCAAAACGGTATGTGAAATAAGAATAGAAGGAGAGTTAATTGAGCAAGTGGATGAGTTCGTATATTTGGGATGTGTATTCAGCAGGGATGGGAGATATGATAAGGATATTGAACGACGAGTGAATGCAGGAAATAAAGTAAATGGGGCTCTACACTCTATTGTGAAAAGTCAGAATGTAACAAAAAAGGCACGTATGGCAATTCACAGTGCTGTATTAGTCCCTACTTTAACGTATGGTAGTGAAAGTTGGGTGTAGCAGAAGAATACGAGAGTAGAATAAATGCAGTAGAAATGCGGTCGCTAAGGAGTATGTTAGGGCTAAATCTGAGTGTCAGGGTGAGAAATTGTGTGATAAAAGAAGAGTGTGGTTTGCAAGATGATGCGGTGACCAGGATTAAGAAAGGAATGCTTCGGTGGTTTGGTCACGTAGAAAGAATGAATGCGGAAAGACTGACAAAGCAAATATATGTTGCAGAAGTGAATGGAAGAGTCGGAAAGGGACGACGTTTGTCGACCAAATTGGCGATATACTAAGAATGGGCCAAATTAAGAGTACCCTTAACCGACGAGCATGTATGCGTAGGTATATGGTTGTGGAAGATGCGAGAAAGGTATGTCAGGATCGTGCTAAATGGAAGTCTGTAGTCTCTACCTACCCCTCTGGGTGACAGGCGTGAGTGTTTATGTATTATGTAGTAAATAAATTATCTTTAATCTAAATAACGCCACTATTCTACCCAAACGCAGCTAGAGCAGAAACAGAAACTTTTTTATTCAATTAGTTTCAGATCAAGCAAATTAATTAAAGCCTTAATGGTTTCATTAGCACGCCAGCTTTGATATTTTTTAACGCGTATGTTGATATAAGCGCCTGGTTCATTAATTTAATGATGAACTGTCACTTATGTTAGAACACCGTTCGCGGATACTGTCTTTCCGAGGCTTTATAATGGTAAAAAGAATATTTAAAAAAATGATCCCGTTAAACTACATCTACCCTACGTTTTACTTATTAAATCGGCTCCAGCCTGGATGAGAACCTAAAACCTACACTGGAGCGATAGGTTAATGCATATGCAACTGTAGGTCAATGAGCCCTACGCCCTATGTAGATTTCACTTAACGAGTGATTCGAATTACCCTTTTGTTAATAATAGTTTTACAATTTTTATATATATTTGACCCTTTTCTATCAAATTTGTTGTCATTCTTTAGAAATTTTAATTTTTTGTTGTTATCATTTGTATCAAAATGTTTAATATCATGAAAATTATTTAAACCAAATAATAATTTATTTAGTAAAGTTTTTATTTAACCGTTTTATATTATGTAAGTTGTACAAAAGATATATCAAGAGTCTAGTGTTCAGTCAGGATATAAGTGCCGCGAATGATTTTCACAAACATCTCTATAGGGTGTACTGGGGTAATTCCGACGGGAATTTTTACGAGATGACTAGAGGTCTATATTTCGGTTAGTTAGGTAAAGTAGCTTCATATTTACTGACAATTGTATGCGACTTCTGTTAAATTAATGAAAATATTTAATCTATGGATATATTAGATTCATAACTATGTAGTTGGATTCACTAAATAGAGCATTTTGAATTATTGAGTTATAATTTTTTTGGTATAGGGGAAATTACGAACTATCTTGGGATATATCCCAAAATTATTCAAAAGTTTATTTTATTATACTTTGACCGAAGGTTTACATTTCTTTTTCAATCGTATTTAAACATTACACAAATCATAAATTTTAGTAATAGTATCGCTAATATCATTTTTTATGGTCTTGTATTTCGGAATTACCCCTAGAAGATATTGTGGTTCTCAACATTTCAATTAAGTTTTTTTGTTTATTCTCAGTAATTGTCACCCAGTTTATTGCCAGTAATTTTATTTCCACTGGTGACAAACAAGAAAAAATGTCACAGTTGTCATCGAAGTTGCCGTATAAGTGAGTTGACAATAATTGATAGTTCTGACAGATCTGATCTCTGCGCGGAATAGAACAAGTAGTATAAATGATTACATAATTTAATGTTATGTTTTAATAATTTAAATTATTATTATAAATTAATATTATTATATTAATCCTGATAAAAATGAATAAAATGACTGCGGATTATTAAAAATTTGTACATTACCAAAGAGACAAACATGTTGCTTTTAGCAGGGGTTAATGCTTTTATGAAATTTAACGGTCAATTAAGATGAGCTGAAACTGTACATACTTGAAGAAATAAAGCATAGGTAGAGATTTTTATAAAGATACCTTTTATTCAGTGCTTTTTGCAAAATAAAATAAACTTTCTACATATATTATTGTCTTACACTTAAATCAATCATCCTTAAAAATGTTAACTCAAAGTAGGAACTTACGGTCACAACCACCATTTTCATTTTCTTTTGGTATAAAGTACTTAAGTACTAACCTTATCAAATAATAAAAAACTTTGCTGCTAGCAAAACTAAAATTATAAAATGCTTTAATTTTTTTTTAAATATAACAAAATTGGTTAGGAAATTGTAAAAACATCGCATCTATATAGTAATGATATAAAATCACTGTTACATAATCAGCCAAAGTAAATTGTATCTTCATAATTAAGTAAGTAATATTCTTTTTCGTTATATTTTTTTTAAATCTATCTTCTCCACTATTAATGACTTTGGAACTTTATCAATATCCTTTCTTTTAGTCGTTATAAAGGTAAGGCGCTGCTGTGGTCTCACAGTTTTTAGAAAATTGATAGTGAAGTATATTTCTTCATTTTTTATTATATTTTCTATGAACCCCACAAAATACTTCCATTTATTCCTTATCAAATATCTGACGAGTACTGAATCATTTAGTTGGTAATTTTCCTTCATAGCAAGGTTCTCTTCTTGAATCTCGCATATTATTTCATTACTTTCCTCTTTAAGTAGCAGTTGCTCATCTTTGTCCTTTTTTTTCGAGAATTCTCTAGTTGTCATATTTTTTTCTTTAGTAAAAACATCAATATCATATTCGTAATTTCTTTCAATGAGTCTTTTCTCTTTATTTTCTTCGACTTTTTCTTCCACTTTGTTTTCTTTCCCTTTACTTCTTTTGCCTACACCTTTACCCTTAATATAGAGAGGATTTAAATTCTTGTTAGTGAGAAATTCATTTTCAGAGTATTCATCCGTCAATTCTTCAAAATCAACACATTCAATAGTATCAAAATCAATATATCGGATACACTAGCTATGCTGTCAAGTGAAAGCTGGCGTTTTCGATTCTTCTTATTTCTTATGCCTGAAGGGCCTGGATGATGTTCTTGTTGCTGTGCTGTAAATATTGTTATTTCAGAATCTTTCTTATTTTTTACTCTTGCTGTTCTTTTTTTGTAAATTTTACTGGGGTTCGCTTTCGCTTTCTTAGCTTTTATCGTTTCTTCTAAAATTTTCTTATCCATTGTTGCTGTTATCACTTCAGCACCTTTAGTGACACGTTTCTTTTTTGTCGGTTTATTATCTTTTTTGTCCTATTGTATTTTTCTTAAAAGCAGTTCCTCGAATGTGCATGATGGCTCAGGTAGTCGTTGAAGTAACTGTGGAGGTGCTTTTTTGATGATAAAGTTCGAGATTATTTTTATTTTTGATAAACTTTGAGTTGATGTTTAATTAGAATTCTGTAAACATATAGGTATTTGGGATGGTTGTTTTGCGACAAAACTCAAAGTCTGGATATCAGGTTTCGATAATAGAGACAACAAGGTATCCTTATCAGTGTTTGACGATTTCTGTAAACATGCAGGTAGTTGGGTTGGCTGTATGGGAACAAAACTCAAAGTTTGGATACTGGACTTTGAAATTTGCGACAGCAAGGTAACGTCATCGGTATTTGAATTTTCAAGAGAATCATTTGTTGTTGCAAGTTGATTGTTAAACAAGCCAATACAAATTTCTTGTAAGCAAAATGTTCTTCTAATGTCTTTTTTTGGTACCTTTTATATGCATCTGGATCATACTTGTCCACAGGTATCACGTGCGCATTAAAAGGAAAAATCCCAGCTTTTCTAAATCCACTTTTGATGATATTGGGGTTTGTTTCTCTCCAAGTATCTGCCAGCGCTGGAGCGAAAACTTTTTTTGGCATTTTCGTGCCAACATTTCTACGCTGCCACTCTACCAGTTTGGCATCCCATATTGACTTGAATGACTTGAATACGGCTATATCAAGAGGCTGCAGCAAATGTGATGTGTGTGGCGGTAGTTTAAGTATTGTGATACGGTTTCGTAATGCCAGTTCCACAACTCTTACATGGACGTGAGTTGAGTGACCATCATAAACGATAAGAACCGGGCGCTCCTCGCCCAGACTTGGGATAAGAACTTTTTCTATATAATTATAGAAAATATCTGTATCCATCCACCCTTTAGCACTGGCTGCATACTATAATTCGAAATCGTAATCACCATCAACCAGTTCAGCCATCCACTGATCCCAAACAAATTTGCCTTTAAATACAATCAAAGGCGGCATCTTCTTGCCATTAGCGCTTGCACCCGTCAACATAGTGATATTTTCTTTTCCACTCCCATGGGTGGACCTCGCACAAGGTTTATTTATTTGTCCACATACTTTAGTTCTGGATGGATCCAGGCATAACGACGTTTCATCTAAGTTCTAAATGAGTTGGGTACTTTCAAAAAGATCCAAATCTTTTAAAGTATTTTCGAGCAAAATGAAATATTCACCAATGACGAATGGATCTGTCATTTTTCTTCTTACAAATTCTACAGGCTGTGCTTTTTTAATTGATAATCTATGTCGTTTCCGGAAATTAATGAACCAGTCTGTGCCTGGGACATTATTTTTAAATGGTGTTTGAATCTTATTCACCCGCACATATTCAGCGACAAGCTCCATAATTTCAAACATAGAGAGACCATATCCCCGTTTTTCCATAATTCTAGGCGTATAACGGTTGGTCTACCTGCATTTGGTCTGGTAGTTTCTTTACCTTTTTTTAAGTTTTCATGAAGAGTCGTCATTTGAATTTTGTACTCTTGCGCTGCTCTATATTGCGTAAGTTCTCCATTTTTTACCTTTGCGATCGCTTGAGCTAAATCTTGTGGAGTGTATGATTTAATTTTCTTTCTTATGTCAGTCCGAGGCATAGTTTTTTTTTTTTTTTTGTAGAAGAGGGGGCAAACGAGCATGTGGCGCACCTGATGTTAAGTAACTACCGCCGCCCATGATCAACCGCAACACCAGGGGAATTGCAGGTGCGTTACCGGCCCTTTAGAAAGGAGTAAGCTCTTTTCTTGAAGGTCCCCAGGTCGTATCGGTCCGGAAAAATCACCGGTGGTAAATTATTCCACAGAGAGGTTGTACGCGGAAGAAAACTCCTTTTGAAACATACAGTGGTGGACCGCTAAGCATCTAGATGGTGTGGATGGTATCGGGACGTTTGCCGTGTAGTGTGTTCACGAAATTTGGCGGCTGGGATTAATCCGAACAATTCCTCAGAGCACTCCCCGTGATAGGTGCGATAAAATACGCAAAGAGATGCAACATCTCTTCGCAGTGCCAGTGAATCAAGCCGATCGGAAAGCACTCGGTCGTCGACGATTCGAGCCGCTCTGCGCTGGATGCGGTCAAGTGGAAGGAGCTGGTACTGGGGAGCCCCAGCCCAGAGATGGGAACAGTATTCCATGAGCGGCCGAACCTGCGCCTTGTAAAGTTGCAGGCGGTGTGCCGGCATGAAATACTGTCCCGCTCTGCTGAGCACGCCAAGCTTTTTAGTGGCCAATTTGGCCTTCCCTTCCAAGTGACCACGAAACAGCACGTCACTCGATATGTCGACGCCGAGGATTCCGATACTGGCTGAGGCAACAAGGGGAGTGCCTTGAAACTGAGGGGATACGACAAAGGGGTTCTTTTTAGCGGTTAACGCGCAAACTTGTGTCTTCTGGGGGTTAAACTGGACTAGATTTAGTCGCCCCCAATCCGAGACTCTGTCCAGCAGAGACTCGACTTCAGACACAAGTTTGTCCCGGCACTCAGAGACGTTTTCCCGAGAAATATTGGCTCGGCCGGTGTAAAGAGCATCACCAGTGCTGTCATCTGCATAGCAATGAATGCTACGGGTTTGAAACATATCATTGATATGCAGAAGAAACAGCGTTGGCGATAGCACGCAGCCCTGTGGAACACCAGCATTAATAAGCTTGCAATCGGAGCTTGCACCGTCTACAACGACCTTGATGCTCCGATCTGCAAGAAAACTGGTGATCCAATCGCACAATTTCTCGGGAAGCCCATAGGAAGGGAGCTTCGAAAGAAGCGCTTTGTGCCAAACCCGCGAAGGCCTTCGCAATGTCCAAACTAACGGCCAATGCCTCCCCCTTGGACTCTACTGCCTCCGCCCATCTGTGAGTTAGGTATAGTGGCTATATAGTGGCTCTGAAAAAGAAATAAGTACCTACTTACTTAACATATACGTCACACCTGTATTTCCCGAAGGATTGGGAATACATTAATTTTAAATTACAATGTTATTTAAAACAGAAACTTTAAAATTAGTTAAAGCCGCTAGTTAAAGTCCAAAAAGAACGCAATATGTGTGAAACAGTTTATGAAGTAGATGCTCGAAGTTGATTCTTTGATTTGGTTTATTGGGTACCGAATTTCGAAACTGCCTCACACCCATTATTGTGTTATTTTTGAAGACGGTATTAACTTTTTTATTTTTCTATTTGGAGTGACTTACACATACCACTTTTTGCTGTTAATTAATACAAGGCGAGGTAAATTAAATGTCGTTTATTGAAGCTTATTAACCCATTTGTTGCAGTTATTTTTAAAAACAATTCAACCAAAATTAAATTAAAATATGGAACAACGTCGGTTTCTTCTAACAAATAAAAAAGAATAATTAAAATCGGTTCATAATCGCCGAAGAAATCGTGTAAAATACACACAAAACAGTTATACAGTCGAATTAGAAAACCCTCCTTCTTTTTGAGGTCAGTTAATAAGTAATGATTAGTAATATAGAATCATTATCTACAATAAACCCAAGTTTTCCAACAAACTTCGAAATACCAGGCGGTCCCATAATGAACTGGCCTGATATAGTTCAACGCGACATGTCGCTACATGTTGTGTTGCATTAAATAGTACGTTTATCGTGCACTTAATATAAGAAACATGCATCGACATGAAATGCTTAGTCTTAGTTTAATAGGCATTTGAATAACGAGAGTCGCGTATTTTTTCAAAATGTCGAAAACTGAGTATCGAAGTGTCATAAAGTTTCTGTTTAAAGAAGGTTTATCCCCTGCCCAAATAAAAGAACGATTGGATGGCGTGTATAAGGAGTCTGCCCCCTCCTATAGCACAGTGAAAAATTGGGTGAAAGAGTTTCGCCTCGGGAGAGAAACCGTTGAAGACTTTGCCCACGACGGTCGACCTGTGGAAGTGCTCACTCCCGAAACGATTGCTCTTATCGAAGAGGAGGTTCTGAGTGACCGCCGTTTGAAGATTAGAGAAATTGCAGCAAGGCTTGGGCTCTCTAAGAGTACCGTTCATCGCGCGATCCATGAACATCTTCACATGAAAAAAGTGAGTGCAAGATGGGTACCGAAACTTCTTTCAGCGGTACAGAGACAGAAAAGAGTGCGCTGCGCTTCGGAGTTTTTGGATCTTTGTGGCGAAAATACAAAGACTGTGATTGAGCGGCTAGTGACTGGTGATGAAACTATGATCTTGTATTATGATCCACAAAGCAAGCGCGAGTCAATGGAATGGCGTTATAAGGGTGAAAAGCCCCCTAGGAAGGCAAAGGTGCAACAATCGACTAAAAAACTGATGTGCACAATATTTTGGGATTTTCAAGGCATTTTGATGGTGGATTTTAAAGAACGTAATACAGTCGTGAACGGCAAATATTATGCTTCTTTAATATATAAATTACGAGACAAGATAAAGGAAAAACGAAGAGGCAAGCTGCCTAAAGGTGTCCAGTTGCTCCATGACAACACCCCTGTTCATACCGCTGGTGTTTCGAAGGATGCAGTTCGTCAGTGCGGGTTCACAGAAGTTCAACATCCACCTTACAGTCCAGACATGGCCCCGTCCGACTATTATTTATTTCCAAAATTAAAGCGGGACTTAAGAGGAAAAAAATTTTCAAGCGATGAAGAGTTGCAGGCGGCCGTCTCCAGTCATTTTGAGGATAAAAAATGTGATTATTTTTATAAAGGTTTAGAGATGTTGATTCACAGATGTCAGAAGTGTGTTAGTATTCATGGTGATTATATTGAAAAATAAAATTGGTTTCGTTTCATTTCCTTCGTTGGTTCATAGTTAGGCCAATTCATTATGGGACCGCCTACGTAATAATAAAATTTTGCATACTTCATGTAATGTCATGCAAATCATCTGATCGTACAGATTGAGAATCACTGTCAATTTCTATGGAAAAACTAAGTGGGGTTATTGCGGAATGGTTATACATCGGAATCACCCCAGAGGGGTATGTACGAAAAAAATATTGAAAACACAGCTAGTACGTTGTTTTCCTCTCACGAATTCGCTAAAAACTACAACGTATCGTAAAAACAAGCACTTATTGAAATAACTTACCAGAATTCCGAGATAAATATGTTGGGGTTATTGCGAATCAACAAAAATGGCGCGATAAATACTCTTTTTACAAAACTTGATGCTACGCACGTTATGTTGACACTAGCTTCTCACGACGACTAACGCGGCGAGGATAACCAAGATGGAATCTAATGTTGCCAATAGGAAAATATCGCTACGATTAATAGAATCTTTGAACTTGCGGAATATACCCTTTTTCGGAATTACCCCAGTGCACTATAAAACATCTCTATATGTATGTATATAAACTTAATATATATATATATATATAGACATCTCTATATATAAAGACATCTCTATATATAAAGACATCTCTATATATAAAAACATCTCTATATATAAAAATCTATTGCTTTCCGTTAGTGAAATATTCGAAAATGTGTGTTGAGTTTGATTGGTTTAGATTCACTATTGGGACCCGGACCCTGAATGGTTGCGATTTACAATTAGATCCGGTAGGTGGCACTGGTGTCGAGATCCAAAAATCACCCGTGCGAAGCCGGGCGGATATCAAGTACTAAATATAAATCAGTAAAACGAATAGTCAATATAAATAAAATGAACTCTAAATCCAATAAAAAAACTTTCGGTAAATCCAAATTCGCATGACTTAAGCGCTTATGTCATACGTCAATTTTTTGAATATTTTAAATGTGTATATTTAAAATATTCAAAAGTTTTCGCAAATAACCTTATTACTATTACTTTTAATTTTCAAATAATTTTTGTCGATAAAAAAAGTTTGAAAAATCCAA